TCATCGAAGCCAATAGATGAAAATTCTTTCTATGCTATTAAAATGTTGACGAGCAAAATATGATAGAGAATATTTTAAACTTTACAAGTTTTATATCACGATGGTAATTACATAATGTGGCAAGTAGAAAAACATAGTTTACCTTTGATTACTAATTTATTAGTCTGCTATTATACATCACATACTTAAATATTACACTTCATTATGTTCCTCAATAGCGTCTAAAAATATATTAGAAATTACTTCTTCAGAAGGATTAACTGGTAAATCTACATCTGCTAAAATGCCAGCTAAACTTTTCCTTGGTACATTTTTATCTTTTCTTTCTTTTTTCTGTTTTATCTTCTTTTCTTTCATATGGACATTCTTCAAATGATTTTTTAAATATTGCTTAAAAAAATATTTATAATTTTTTAACCAATATTAACGAGTCTATAATTAAATAAAAACGAGACTGTGGCAAAGTGAAAAACTAAACCAAGAGGACCAAATACCACAATAATTTAAAAAAACGCGAACATTAGTTTTCCGCTGAAAATGCTCACAATGTTAGTGGGCCGTATTTTTTGTAGTATTGTGGTAACTATTTGAAATAAGTCCTCTTGGTTAAATTACTACAAGTTGGATGTTAAAAAAAAAATCAACAAAGATATATAAGGACAAAAGGAAAACAAAATACTATTAACACAACAAGAAGTAAAACACCAAAAAAAGAATAATATATCCAGAACAGAGCATGGGTCAGACAGCATTATCCTAAATCCATACTGTTACTGCACAACAGCACACCCCAATTATTTTATCACAGGGTAGTACAGCAAAAAAAGAAAAGATATTACCACTGTTTAGAGCAACCATATGTGGTGTAGCTTAGGTGTAGCAACAACAACAAAAATGAGTAACTGGTGGATATTAAAGAAGGAGTAAAAAACAGAAAAGGTTATAAAAACGCAGGAATAATGTATTAACTTAAATCCTCCCTGTATGAATTAACATCAATGAGTAATATTTCTAAAAGATGTTTTTTTTATGATTAACTTGTTTTTTTTTTATTAATTAAAACCCATAACTAAATTCATTTTAGTCATGACTACATCTTTTAAAAGAATCAGATAAAATTTTAGTACCAACCTTCTTTTTGAAGAGTTGCTTACAGTTTTCAAAAACACAAGGGATTTTGGGCTCATTCCTCTCTTTTTTGTGAAACTCACTTATGTGATGATGCAGATTTTTCTTATAGAAATAGAATCTTGTGCAGTTTTCATAGATACATGGAAAAACATCTTTCTCCATCTTATCTTTATGTACTAGTTCATGAATTTTCAAGTTAGTGCTGTTTGAACAAGACTTTGAACAAACAGTACATTTTGGTCCTACATGGTAAAAAGCATTTTATCACAATGAATACTCTAATAAATAAATGCTTACTTGCTTGTGCACATTCCTTTTTATGACTTAAAAAAAACAACCATCTTTCATATTTTTCTCCACATTCACAAGTATAAACAGTATGAGTACGTTTATGCCTATTACAATCAACCATTGTCAAAAACCTTGCCTCACATTGGTCACACCTGCAACTGACAATGACTTACTTGTAATGAAATTATTAAGACAAACATACTTAAAAGGAGCAATGCCTGTATGCACGTATGAGTGTTTCAAAAGTTGCCTTTTTCTCGTAAAACCTTCACTACATTGTTTACAATTAAATGGAAACTTCCTATTAGCATTGTGCTTCAAATTACAATGCTTTTTTAAGCTATATCTGTTTGAAAAAATACGTAAACAACCTTCATATGTACATAAAATGCTTTCTGCCTTAACAAACTTATCATGAGTTATTTTTTTATGCCTGCGTAAATGGGCAGGATTTGTATAACTTTTGTTACAATTTTCCACCTCACACTTGAACGGTCTCTGCAAAATACAGTTTTTTTTAGTAATTTATTAAAAGCTGTCACTACACAATACTTTGCCCGTGTGCTTTCCACTGTGGTAAGTAAGTTTACTCCGTTTCTTGAAATACTTATTGCACCCTTCAAAGGTACACACATACAAAGCATTTTCTAAATTCTCATTTGAATTCATTTTGAAATACAACAGCACGTTTTTAATACATGCACAATGCACAGTATTCGTTTAATAAATCTACTGTGATCTACCTACTGTGAATCTAGTAATTAGGTAATAAAAACAATAAAAACATTGTGAGCAATTGTGAGGTTAAGTCATGCTTGAATTGAAATCATAGATAAGGTTGAAATCAGTTGAAATCTAGAAATATCTATGATGATCAAAGGTTAAAACAATTCAACAGAAAATTAGAAAATATTAAACCTTGACCTTATCTATTGCAGTGATAGTCCTAGACCATCCTACAATCCTCAAGGTCAAAGACAAACTGTCTGTCATTCGTGATTCCGTAATCATAATTTAGTTCAATAATTTAGTAATTTGTATCAGTATCAGTTCTCGTGTAATGATCGTGTTCAGATAATCGTATCTTTCATGTGTTATTTGTATGTCATTAACAGTAGTTGTGAATTGTGGATCGTGGATGAATAAATTAATTACAAAAATGTTTCGAATGTCTTTCACAAATTTAGTAAAACAACCTAAAGAAGTAATTACACAGTTTATGAACTCGTTTGATACTGTTTTAACCGACTGTGATGGTGTGTTGTGGCTAGAAGAAGAACCAATTGAAGGTTCCGCAGAGGTGATAAATACTTTGAAAGAATTAGGGAAGAGAGTATTTTTCGTGACGAATAATTCCTGTAAAATACGTGATGACTTTGTTAAAAAGGCCAAGAAAATGAACTTCAAATGTGAAAAGGTTCTTAAAAAAGTGTAACTTCTCCATAGTACATAAAAAATAAAAGCATGTTTTAGGATGATATTATTTCAACTGCNGCTTAATCGCCGAAATGATTCTTACAGATTTTTAATGAATTCATTGTGAAACTAATGTACCAAGTGGTTTTTCTTCAGTTTCTGAATTTTATATTTCGACATATTTCGCCAAGTGCCAACTGACTAACGTTCAATAGGTTGGCCCAGAAGGTTTATCTCAAGAATTAGAGTTGGTGGGAATAAAATCTATAGGAGTCGGAGTATGTTTACTGCATCTTTAAATTAAAAAGTCTTATTGTTGTCTTCTAGCCTGATGTAATGCAGACATCATTTAAAAATACTCTTGAAGAATTTAAAGCAGATCCTGATATTGGTGCAGTAGTAGTAGGATATGATGAACACTTCAGTTATGTTAAGATGTTTAAAGCTGCTACTTATCTAAGTAATCCAAATGTTCTTTTTGTGGGTACTAATTCTGATGAGCAGTATCCAAATCGTTATGATTATATAGTTCCTGGAACTGGTACTATTCTAATTGCTGTTAAAACTGCTGCTCAGAGGGAACCGTTTATTGTGGGGAAGCCTGAAGCATATATAGCAGACTTCATTAAAAATGAATATGGAATGGATCCTAAGAGAACATTAATGATTGGTGACAGGTAAAAGTTTTATACAGGGTTATTGAAGTTTGGTCACTCTTTTCATATGTTCTATCAATCCAAAATAATTTTATAAACAACTTACTTCCACTTATAGCAGATGCAGACAGTGCTATTTTTCTCACAATTAAGACACCTAATAGGCTACACAATTTGAATAGACCCATAAAATCATCAAAAATATTAAATTTTCAACAAATAATTCAAATTTATAACTGCAGGTGCAACACAGATATTTTATTGGGAACAAGATGTGGTTTTCAAACAATGTTAGTTTTAAGTGGAATAACAACTTTCAAAGAGGCAACACAACGGAAACAGTCAAAAAAACAGGAAGAAAAAGATCTTGTACCTGATGTATATCTTGAAAAGCTAGGGGACTTACTCGCTTATATGAACTGATATATCACTATGTTAGTTATTTTCACTCATCTGGGTGCAAGAACTGTATATTATTTAGCCACATAAATAACTTTTGCATTTTTGACTTTTATGTTTATGTACTTTTAACAAAATAAGATGTTACAATTAAAAAAACAAATAATAAACAATAGTATTTTATTTCAATAGTATATAAAAATATATCTATCTTTTGAAGCCTAATGTTGGAGTCATATTGAATGAACACAGAAAATACTTTGTATTTACAAAATGAAAGGAATAATTGCCTTACAATTTTCTGGAAAGCTTGGAAATGTACTTTTGTATCACCAAAAACTTACTAAAACCTTTCTGAAAATGTATTCACCAGGCACATTTGCTTAACAATATAAAAATACATAAACTATACGTGGTTGACCAATACCCATGCATTCATAAATAACCATAAAGTGTTTTACCACAGTATTTCTGTAGTTGTGTGTCTTTTATTTTGTAATATTGTTAAGTTGCGATCTCACACAC